TGGTAACTAAGAAAAGTACCATCATTTGTTTGGTAACTAAGAAAAGTACCATTTTTGTTTGAAAAGTCAAAAAGGGATCCGTTACATACTTCTTTTACCTAAAACCAATTTTTTCGATGTAACTGCCATGATGCTATATGATTATTTGATATACGAACCATCAATGTCATTACCTTATACATATGGAGATGGATTGTCTATCCTTCAATTTCCATACTCTTTTCATTCCCTTTTATTTTGTGTGGTCACGATTAAGTTACTTTAACATTTTATATTCCTATTACTTTTTGTTTTATTATTTTTATAAACAAATCAATATAAAATGTTAACGTGACTTAACCTTGACTACACAAACATGAAGGGATGGGAAGAGTATGGAAATGGGAGGACAGACAATCCACCTCCGTGATGCCTCTTATTAATAAAGTATAAAAGAGTCATGATAATGAAATCACTCCACCTTAGATAATGACATTGTATCTCCCTTGATTTCCTAATCGGACCATTGGATTTTGATTCAAAGACTACAGTTATTATAATTTTTAAAGGGACCCTCTGTTTGTAACCATTAAATCAAAATCTAACGGTCCAGATCCCGGACTAGATGGATTTGGTGGAAATGGCCTAAAAAGTCCATCACTAGTCTTATGACACGGTCAAAAACTGAACACGTGTACATCTGTCCCAATATATCTATGATCAACATTAAACTCTGCAGACGAAAATGGTTCAAGCTAGGGCAACTAAATTTAGGAGAAATCTTTTATTGCAACTCAATTATTGTAGACGAGAATCCCTCGCGTTCAATAAATATTTATTATATTGTGAATTGATGATAGGAGAGCTTTTAAAAAAAAAAAAAAATAGAGTTTTTATTGTAGACAAACATTTTACGTGATACAAGTTAATGATACAATTTTATGTATAAGTTTTTTGAATCATTGATACAAGGAAACACGTTCACAATTTTAGTAAAGTACGAAAACGAAAGAAACTTAAATGGTCGGGTGATGAGGGTACATGTTATAGTGCGTTGGTAGTGCGCCAGATTCTTTTGTTGGGGATCCTAGAGATCCTGCGATCGTATCCGTTTATCATACATCGTGCGATCAATTTTCGTTAAGTACTATTTATATTTAATTTTAAATTTTAAAATGATTTATGACCGCATGATGTACAATGAACAAATACGATCACGATATTCCTAGGATCCCCAAGAAAATGATTGGACGAGGGATCCTTTTCCATGTTTGTGATCAAACTTAATGGTTGAATTTGGTTCGTCCTTGTGTTGGATGTTGTGTCTCTTTCTCTATGGTTCTCAATGATCAATTCAAAGAATGGGGATCATCTCCAAATCCTTCAATCACATCCGTTCATCGTATATCGTGTGGTTAAAAATCATTGTAAATCTTTTTATTTAAAATTAAATATAAACATTATCTAATAAAAACTGACCGTACAATGTACGATGAACGAATGTGATTGGAGGATCTCTGGGATCTTCACAAATAGGATCTGAAGAGGATGCTCATTCCACTTCAAACGCCTAAAATTGTTCTTTGACCTTGGTGTAACCTTGACTGGCAATAGTAGTGTTGCATACAGAGGATGATTCTCTTCCTCCTAATCTCTTTTTCCTTTCCTTCTTTTCTACTTTTTTTTTTAACAAAATATATTATCTACACTACATAGAAGGCGACGGGCTTAGCCTCACAATGGACTAGTAATAATATGGTTCAAATTCGCCTTTGGCAAGAATCGAACTTAAGACCTCTCACCTACAAATAAAGAGGAATACCACTAAACCATAGTACTAAGTGACATTCCTTCTTTCTTACTTGAACAGTTATGATTAAACTACGTTAATATTTTATATTGATTTTTATTATAGGGACAAAAAAAACCAAAAAATAAAGTATGAGAGGAGAGAAGAGAATGAGATAAGAATAGAAGATGAGTGAATCATACTCTATTGCGTATTACTATATCCTATTTTATGTTCTGTATAACTTTACTGCCCAATTCATCAACCATTGGATAAGGTTGTAGGTGAGGAAAGTTGATGCCTCCCACCTTTTGATGTACGTGGATTTTACAAGGTGTTAATGACTATTTGTCAATAAGGTTGTAGGCGGAAAGGGATCATTTCCGGATTCCTTTTACTAAATTCACAAAATCAATTCATTCGAACCTTTAAAATGTAATCCAATGTTTAAAGTTATTATAACTTTAAAAGGGTCCACTGTTTGTAGCCGTTTGATCAAATTTCAAAGATCCAGAGAGGATCTATTTCCGTTGCAGGCATTTATACACTAATTACTGGCTACCTGTTGATGTATGTGGATTTTACTACATATGAATGACTTAGGGTCACGTGTTGATAAGGTTGTAGGCCATCTTTATTTTAGTTAGGAAAAACAATCCAAGCCGGATCCGTTTCTTAGGAATCCTAAGGATCCTGTAATCATGTCGGTTCATCGTACATCGTGAGGTCAATTTTCGTTAAGTACTATTTATATTTTATTTTTAATTTTTAATTTTTAAAAAAAAAATTACCGCACGATATACGATGAACGAATACAATTGCGTGATCCTAGGATTCCTAGAAAAAAAGATCCGACCAAGATCCTTTTCCGTGAGTTAGTGGTTGCATATTGATGTAACGTGGGTTCTACTTCCACAATGTTGAAATGACTTAAAAGCCACTTGCACAAATTGGCCCTAGGGTAATGTCTCAAAATGTTTTTCTTTCATTGGACTTTGGGTTGTTAAAACTCTAAGATTTTTAGTGTTCGTGGCGATGTCGTCAACAGGAATCTTCTAACGTACTAATTAATTAAATTTCGATCCTATTTCTACCATCCTCATATAGGAGTGTCTATCACATTCAGAAAATTCTAAAATAGTTCAGGTTTTTCAATCAAAACTCAACAACATAATAAGAATGTAAAAGTTTTGTATGTGAGAGAGTGAGAACATGAAAGCCACCATCAAGTTTTTAGTCTGTACATAAGTAATTCTAGCTATATTTCACATAAAATCACTTGTTATTTTCATTTTTATTTAATTATTACATGATATAAATTTGTTATTCAACTTTAAACGAAAAATGATTATAACATGTCAAATATCAACTACGTTAACAACTCTCACTATCTTTGAAGCGAAAAACATTAATTAAAAGAAATTGTACCGAGACATCGAAGTGGGTTTGTGCCCAACGCTTTGGCAGTCTTCCCTCGTCTTGGTGGCCATTGAAGAACACGTGGCATCAGTAGCTTTATTTACCTGAAAATTGGCTTTTGCAGCTTTCATATAACGTTGGCCGCTTCACTTGTTTTACTGCTTTTGTCTTTAGAAGCTCCGTTGACAAAACTTTTAATTAAATTTAATTCTCACAAATATATCCCACATTATAATTCATAGTTTTTGCTTCCTTACTTCAAATCACCATAATCTCATTTCTCAACCTCTCAACATTCAGAAATTGTTCTAGTTTTATTCAACTTGGAGATGATGATGAAGACCGCAACTTCTGTAAGTCCCTCTTTGCAATAGCTCTCTTAAAGTTTATGGAGTTCCGGTTCCGTAGTATGATAATCACTTTCTTCCTGCAGTAAATTTCGGACCCTCGTTTTCTCCTTCTGCACTTTTTATTTTCTTGATCTTCCTTTGGTTTACTCAAGTCCATTTTTTTTTTTCATAATCTTTGTACTGATGCAGCAGAATTTGGTTTTTAAATTGGTTTATGTGCCTTCTTTTACACAAAGATTATGTGGCTTTTTAATGTCTCATCTTAAGAGCAGAGAATGATGAATTCCTACCCTTTTGAATTTTATTTATTTTGGTTTGTATTGTTCTTGTTATTTCCTCAGGCCATCTCCAACCGAAGGCTGGCCAGAGGGCTCGTTTGAGCCCTCTAGCCCTTCAAGATTCCCCAAGATATTAATATTTTAATGAACAGTACATGGCCATATTTGCCTCCGTCTCCAACCGAGGGCCAGAGGGCCAAAGGGCTCGTTTTAGCCCTGTCACAAAAAACCGTCTCCAACCGAGGGCCAAACATAATTTATTATTTAAAAACTACAATTTAATGTTGTATAAATGGCCTAGGAAGTTATACGAAAAAAATAGAATTGAAAAAAAATATGAAACAAATTTTGTGAAATAAAAGTTATAGGAAAAAAAATATGAAACAAAATTTGATTCATATGAAAAGGAAAAAAAAAGGGGAAAAAAAGAAGTTTACATTCATTAAAAAAAAAAGAAAAAAAAGAAGTTTAAATTCATTAAAAAAAAAAGAAAAAAAAAAGAGGCCTAATAATACAACGGCTACTAGCCGTTATATTAAAAAACATTTCAAACTATTAGTGTCGGTTATAACCTACACTAATAGTAGAACTATTAAAAAAAATATATCTTTAATGTTGTCGGCTATAACCGACAGCAATAGGAAATCATTAAAAAAAAAAATAGCCAGCCCGGGGCTGGCTGGCTGGCCGAAAGCAGCCAACCCTCCAGCCCTCTCCGATCCCGTGGGGCCCTCCCAGATTCCAAAGCCCTCTGGCCTAGCCCTCGGTTGGAGACGGTTTTAGGGCTATTTTCGGCCCTCTGGACCCTTCGGTTGGAGATGGCCTCATGCATTCAGATATCTCACAAGGACCCAACGAGAAGGAGCTTCTTTAGTTGCAGTTTCCTTTCTACCATTGCTATGCTTTCTGCGGTTCTCTTCTTTGGGAGCCAATTTGTTGTCACAGGTTATAAAGAGCCAATTTGTTTTAACTAAACATTTAAAAAACGTGGATATGTTGTTCATGGAGGGCTTTAAGTTAAGGGATCCCTATTTTTTTTTTCATATAAAAATGGGAATAAGTTGTAGGCCCACACCACATCAAAGTTTAACGATCTGAACCGTCTGTTTTTCAAGTTTCATCCCATAGATTATCCTTACAAAATATTAGCTGAATCGGAAATATTTGAGGCTTCTAGTTGAATTCAAAGAAATCGGATTCCAAGTTTCACTACTTTTGTTTTAGAACTCAAAGTGATCATCAACAAACTTATTGGCCATTGTAGTTGGATGAAAGCAAAAGGAAAGTGAACAAGATTGTAAAGAAGGTAAAGGAAAACACAATTGTTTCTCATGCCGTTCTTTAGTTTCTTTTTATCTTCAAATGCAAGCACCAGCCGTTTCATCTCAAATTGAACCGTATATCATTGTCATCCCTTTTTGTAGGTTGGAGTTTGATTTGGCCATGCTGAGCAGTGATCTTAAAAGAGCTCTTCAGTGCCTTCTTACAATGAGCAACAGCTGGGATATAGGGAAGAGAATACATCATTTGATTTGAAGGACATTACTATAGTCTAAAGTTCGGATTTCAATTGCACTATTTATCTTGACTAGATTTTCCCCAACCATTGGAGGTGGTCTTACTGTTGAAAGGGATGGTACTTTCCCGCCAGGCCATGCCAGTGCTGGCTGAAATAAGGGCATGCTAAACCACTGCTATGTCATCCACCGCGGGCATCAACCCCAGATGGGGGAAGAAGCTCGATCCTAGATTCAGGAAAAGGCGGGCCAAGAGGCTGAGATGAGCATGAAGAGTCGCTTAAGTCCAAAATTGACCAGAGCGGTGAATAACGTTGGAATCATTTCATTCACTCAGCTAAAAATTCTCTTTGAGGGGAGGGGATGGGTGATGACATGACTTCCAAATCCCACTTGTTTTGAAAAAGAACACACAATCCAGAGGAAATGAAATGCTGAAAAAGCATATGATAAAAGAACAAATATCGAGGGACCAATTGTCAGAATATACATAAAATCCAAGTAAAAATAATGCATATTGATATACTAAATTTCGGTTTAAACTCGAAAAGGATGTTTGACACCCCACCTCCCAAACCATCAGGTTTCGCATATAATATCCAAGCTGGGAGAGTGTTCTGTTTCAACAATAAAAGCCGGCCTTCATAACGGCGGATCCCAGTTTTGATATGAGCTTGAAGGAGATGCTAAACTAGAAAGGCTGATCCAAAAGTGTTGAATGTTAACAGTATATGTGATGAAGCACAAATGTAAAATCAAATTCTCTTTAATAGTTAAAAGCTGGTTGAAGCAGACGTATCTAGGAAACACTTACTCGGTCTTCAGATTCAACTCCTGGTGATCATTCAAGCACTTCGGAATTACTCTGAACAATATTTAACTATTAAGTGTGAATCAATTCCTGGTGTCAGACTTTGACTCTTGTTAACAATAAAGGCAAGCACATTAAAACAGAATAGGTAGAGCAGTAACCACCTAAACGGTAGCAAGGCAAGCACATAAACAGAATAGGTAAAGCAGTAACAACCTAAACAGTAGCAAACTTATCTTCTATAACGTACACCATTCGTATGGTAAGCAGACGCAGAACAAATTTTTCTACCAGAGAAGTTCAGCTTTAAAAGCTCAGCATGGATATAGTGCTTCCAATTTACAAGAAAAATCATTAATAGGCCTTTACATCTTAACGAATAAAAAACCTATAACTGAAACTCCATCAACAAGAAATCTATTAGTCACTTTAGAGACAAACGGAAGCGAATAGGTGAAAATAGATGCACGTGTCCTCCACTGCAAACACATGAGCCAAGTACCAAAAAGAATAGCGAAGATATCATCAGAGTGACATAATAGAAAGTGAGGGTTGGGGAAGGAAAACGTTTTCACATCCAGATTCCACGAAAACAGGAACACAAGTTTTCATAAATCTAAACATGTTGACGATAGCATAAAATTAAGGCTAAGAGTCACCATAGATGTTTGAAATTTATGCTTAGACACGTTTGTAAATGAGTTTCCTAGAAGGTTCCCTTCGACAACGCAAACAATAAAAAAGAAGTTCCCGAGTGAAGAATTGCACTTGGGAACTGGTTGACAAACCATTTGACAAACCATTATTGGTGTTAAATGGGTTTACAAAACAAAGTTGAGTTTAGATGGCTCTGTACAGAAGAATAAGGCAAGGTTAGTAGCAAAGGGGTATTTCTAGAAGCCTGGATTGGATTTTAATGAGACATTTGCTCCAATTGCAAAACCAGACACCATAAGAACACTGAAGCTCTAGCTGCACAAAGAGGTTCAAAGGCAATTGGATGTGAAGTCTGCATATCTCAATGGAGTGTTCCATGAAGAGGTATATGTTGATCAAATTCTTGGATTTGTGAATGAAGGCAAGGAAGACAAGATTTCGCAAACTCAAGAAAGCACTATATTGTCTGAAGCAAGCCCGTAGAGCTTGGTATGAAGAAACTGATTCATATTTTTCTCAAAAGCTGGGTTTCACAGAAGTCCTAGTGAAGCCACATTGTATACCAAGACAACTGAGGCAGGTATTCTCATTGTCTCTTTGTATGTGGCTGGATGATATCATTTACACTAGGAGTTCAAATGAGTTGATTTCAAAATTTAAAAGTGAAACGATGAAGCAATATGAGATGACAGACTAGAGATTATTACATCACTTCTTTGGTTTGGGGGTAGTTCAAACTAAGAGTTGCATTTTCTTACATCTGAAGAAATATGCAAAGGCTCTATTGGATAAATTTGGAAGTATTGCAAACTAGTTGCAACTCCACTTGCTGTGAATGAAAAATTGTCTAAAGTGGATGGAAGTAAAATGGCTGATGAAAGTTTGTAAAGGAAGATTGTTGGGAGTTTCTTGTATCTGACTGCTACAAGACCAAACATTATGTTTGCAGCAAACCTACTTGTTAGGTTCATACACTATCCTACCAAGAAGCACATGGGAACTGCTAAAGAGGGTAATACGATATATCCAAGGCACCTTGGAGTATGGAATTGCATATGAAAAGGGGAAGAATGTTGTGCTAATTGGGTATTGTGGCAGTGACTGGGTTGGAAGTGAGGATGACATGAGCACTTCTGGATATGACTTTAGTCTAGGATTTGGAGTGTTTTCTTGGGCATTAATCAAGCAAAACCGACTAGCATTATCAATTGTAGAGGCTGAATATGTGAGTGCAGCTGAAGCTACTGTGCAAGCAATCGAGTTAAGGTTTGTTCTCTCAGATTTTGGGGAAGAACAAGTTGAACCAACTCAAATTTTGTGTGATAATACCTCTACCATTGCTATATCTAAGAATAAAACCATACATATCAATAGAAGATTTCACTTCATCAAAGATGCACTGCAAGAAGGGGAAATTGATTTGGTGTAATGCAAACACAAAAGCATGGGAAAGGATCGATTTAAGTATTTGAGGAAGGCTTTGAGAGTGATTTCTGCAAAACACCTAGAAGGGAGTGTTGAATTATAAGTGAATTTACAGAAATATGCTCCAAGTGTGTTGTGGAGATGTAATTTCATTAAGTGATAGAGTATGATACTTGTAACTATCTCATAGTGTAGATTACGTGAATGGTTAAGATGAGTTGATGATGTAAGAGAGATGCTCTCTCCTATGTGTAACGGTAATATTCCCCCCACATGAGTGGTGCTCACCTAAAACATAACACTCTAACAACTTTACCTCTCCCTTGCAACTACTAGAGTTGTTGTAGAAATATTAGATATACCGGTGAAAGACATTTGGATGAGGACTTAAAGTTGCATGGATTTTAAGCTTAATTTGGTAGGAATGCACTACAAAATATAGATAGAGGTACTTAAAAATGACCTATGCAATACATTCGATAGGAAAAGTGTTTACGTAGTGCATTTGTAATGTTTAAGTAGTAGTTTTGTAGTGCTTAAGCAGATGGAGTCGTAGTGTTCCTGTAATGCATTTTTAACAATTGAATCTAGAGTTTCATGATACTTTAGGGTCCCCATCATCCACACTTTAACAAGGACACAAAATTAACAATATCAAAAACACGAGTCCATAAAATGAAACTTAGATAATGGAAAATTTCAAGAAAAAAAAATGTTCACAGTGTTATAACAAGCAATCCAAATATATACCTGTTTTTTTTTTTGGTGAGAAGACTCGTGGGTTCAAACAACGGAAAAGACTTAAGCACCTCATCTTACATAAGTCTTGCTACGCCTGAAGTTTGAGAAATAAGAGTTTTTTCATCCTTCATAATGGGAAAGAGTACAAAAATGACATCAAAAATAGGCAAAAAACTACAACCAACTCACAACCAAGGTAACACCAACAGCCGCAAAATTGCATCCCCAACCTTCACTCTCACACCACCCATACCAAAATTAGCTTTGTATGCATAGCCAATTTGCCATTGTCACGGCTATTGCATTAGCAATGTTTCTCTTCATTCTTAAGTCTTCCACTTATTATTAGTAGATAAAAGGAGTGCTCATATATTTTGCTTCTGTATCCAGTAATGGACTCATTCAATCATATTAACAACAAAATCATGCCCAGTCCCTTAGCACATGTTTTTTTGGTTTACTTGATAGCGTTACAGTTTACCATTCAATTTAACGATAAAAGGGTGAGAAAATGGTAAAAATACTGGTATGAGCAGGAACAAATAAGGGGAATGGAATCCTCATCAACCCAACTCCAGCCATATTCATCCTTTCCTACATTACACAAGAAGTAAAAGTAAAAAGAGTAAAATAAGCACCACTAAAATCAAATTCTGAATTCCAAATAGCAAACAGAACTGAAAGTATTGCTCAATCAGAAAATTTCATTTATTTATCTCATGTACATCAAGAGCATCTAACAATTTTTAGCCTATTCTATTAAAGTGCAACAATTTATATACCCATTAACCAAGTTACATTACGACCACATACCAAACATGACTGACAAAAATGATTTACGCATAACTACTGCATTGCAATTACATTAGATTTTCCGAATGCTGAATAATTTTAATGGGAAACAACACATACTTCCAAGTAAAAACAAGTCATAAATATATGAATTCAATCTGCTATTAGAGATCAGCATCATGTGCTAGTTGAAAGTTCAGTATAAAACAAAATATAGAGGATCTATTTCATCCTTTGTGAGAAAGAAACTGCAAGAACAAGTTAGACTTAAGATACAATCTCAATGCAATATGAAACCGCTGTCAATCCACTTACCAGTAAAACACAATCTACTAGCTGGCAAACCACATCTCACCATCACCGTCAACCCCACAAATACCAAGTTAGCATTGCCAAAATACGATCTGTTCATTGAGTTCACCATCACCACTGGTATATATAGCATCAGCAACCCTGCAATTTCATGCTTAGATCACCCATTTATTTGTCCCTCCTTAACATTTCAATCCACTAATCACATTTCTTCTCTGAAAATTTGACAAGAAAATGGATATCTCACACATATACAAATACAGTGCCGTCGTTGAATTATCTTCCCTTAAATGAAACTACATCTCCATCGCAGATAGTGAAATAACAATATAACATGAGTCCAAAATCCAAAACTCTTAAAATGAAACAATGGTATCTAAAAGTGTTTTTTGATTAATCTAATCACTTCAAATTTTGATTTCTTGGATACAAATTACAGATTAACGTTATTTCACAGTTTTCATTAATATAACAACAAAATGCCTATATATGGCACATAAACGAAGAAATACACAAGCTAATAAATAGTTAAGCAAAATATGTTGGGAGTAATATATAAATGCAGGAACAAAGAACAATAAGAGAGTATTTGGCCATGCAACCACAATGACGATCTTGATCATGCCACTGTGGCCTTTTGGTTCCTCCACAATCCCATGGCACAATGGCCATATACAAAAGAGAAAATTGAATAAAACTAAATGCTGAGAATGTTTATATACTATGAAAAGTTTGAAAAGCACAACAATGAGTGCAAAGAAAAAAAGTATCCAAATTTTCCCTATCCCATATGCAAAACAGACCCTTTTCTTTGCTTTTATGTTTAATAAATTTATGTTTTTAAATTAGAAAATAAAATATCTAATAAAATCAAAAGGAAAATTTAAAAATTATTTTAGGAAGTGTTAGAAACATAGTAATGGATGCAAATTGAACAAATCTTCAACTTCTACTTTCTCATATGTGAAAACCACCCTTCTTTTTAAATAAAACAAACCTTCAACTTATAGATTCTCATTAGAATCTAGGGAACTTTAACGAAAAGCTCCCGGTACTGTTCACTTTAACGAAAAACCACATTTTTACACTAAAAAGTCAATCCTGGTACTATTCACTTTACCCTTTATTTTGTCCTTATAATTAAAACTCAAAGTTTTCAAGCCATTTTCATTAGTTTTCCTTAAAATCTAACTTGATTATCTTTTTCGGTTCTAATATGTGTAAAGAACATATTATGGTTTTTGGGCGGAATTATCATTAAAACAAGGAGGCAAATCAGCCAAGATTGCCAAGATCAATAATTAGTAAATTTCACAAAAATTTTCAACATCTGCAATATGCACAACACAACAAGCACTCATCATGATCAGCACAAATCTTTTCAACCCCATCCTAAGTCCCCACTAAGCAAACTTTTTTTAATACATTTGATGTTAAACTAAAGGGGTGGGGGAGTGGGCTAAACCTCACAATGGATTAGCCATAATAATTTGGTTCGAACTCTCCTTTAGCAACAATCAAACCTAGGACCTTTCACTTACAAGTAAAAAGAATACCACTAAACGGTAACACAAAGTGGATTGCCGCTAAACAAACTTAATTGGTTGAGGTAAATGATTAATTGATGTGCTACGGATGAATATTGAAGTTCCGTATATTATGTTTTACCAATAGCTTTTTGTTTTGTCAAAATGTTTTAACAATTGTTGAATGAGCACATTATTTTGGATCTCAAACATGAGACTCAATAAGTTCACAAAAAATGATTCCACAAAAAAATTTACAACAAATTGAAGTAAAAACAAGTAATATATATATATATCATATGCGAATTCTGGCATGTATAGTTAGAGATCAAAATCACCTGCAAATTAATATCATATGCCAAAGATAGAGCAGGTGGACCGAATGACAACAAGAGAGGGCACGCCCGTAAACAACCATGATCCTTTCATGCGTGATGACAAGCGTGCTCTCTCTCGTTGTCACACAACATCAAACCATAGCTCAAATTAGACATCAGTAGCTACGGAAAAGAGCAGCTTATAATGTTCTAACAATCACAACAAGGGATCTTCCACATGCGATCAAATTTCCACACATAAATTGGGGGGGGGGGGGGGAAATAAAAGGTGAGAAATTAAAATGAACTTTATACACATATACATACATACATACACATCTATATAAAATACTAACCAAATATCTGATATCCCCAATAACACCAACTGACCTAGATTGTTAGCACAGAAAATACAGACCTAGTACAGTAGTATCATGATCGACTCCAAAGAAGTCTGACATATACCGGAACTATGGTGCTGGGTTGAAAAATTATAAAGTATGACTAGAGAATATCTAGGACCTACCCTATAATTACAGATCAAGAATGATCTTTCAGGGACACATAGAACATGAAATTAAGAAGTAAGAACACAACATAACATGCAAAATACTATCAGAAACCTCATCTAGAGATTTCTAAGAAAACTATCTACAACCAGAAACTATCTAATTTTCAATGGAAATTAAACTGCTACCCAAGAGGTAGAAAATATTCGTCATAAATTATACAACACCGAATAAAATGTACAAAAGCTTTGAGAAATTAATGGAAAAATCTAAAACTAGTTCTTGTGAGCATGGAACATCTCCATCTTGAAAACAAAGTAAATTCCAAATGCTTTGAAAGTCAAGCTTACACTTCAGGCCAAATTTTTTGCATAAAAAGGGTTAAGAAAATAGTCAAAATACAAACTTTTAACCTTAATTCTTACAAATTGGGACTGATGTACAGAAAAGGATAAATCTTTCACGCAGATGTTCCTGGAACATGTAAGCTGAGCTGAATCTAATATTTAATAATTCAATTTTTTTTTTTTCCAATTGTTTCTTAACTATGTTTTGGTGCATGAATAAGTTCTTAATTCTGAAGTCAGAAACACAAGAACAACCACAAAAACCCAGAAGAAAACAACCGTATAAAAACTCAAACTTAAGCACATGAAAACACAAAAGGAATTCAAGCATGCAATTAAAAAACCCTAGGCATCAATTGCCAAAGCGAAACCCTACAAACTAAACAAACACCAAGCCAAAAAAATAAGAACATAAATAAATAAAATAGTAACATGCAAAGGAAAGAAAACCCACTTTCAGATAAAGAAGCTGCAAAAACCAGCGAGAGAGAGAGAGAGTTCCCGAGAGAGAAGAACTAGAGAGCCACTTAAAAGCAAAGACACTGCATCCAAAAATAAAAGGACGAAATAGTGTAAAAAAATTGAATTTCTCGAGAAGACCAAGAGTTAATAACTTATTATCAATCATAAACAGATTCCACCACACAAAGTCCACATGCTAGGTGGATCAATTTTTAGATCATACTAGCATATAAATATATATAAAGTGTGTGAGAACATTTTTTATTTTTGTTTTTTAAATAAAATGAGAGAGGAGGAGAGTGATAGAGAATGTACGAGTGGAAAGTTTTTTTTTTATTTTTTTTAATTTTTTTAATTAGAGATATGTTAAGATTATATGTAGATGAGGCTTTGAAAAAAAAAAACTAAAATTTGGTTGTGTGAAATTATATTTCTGCCTCATATTTCTTATTCATGTTCTATTTTAATTAGAATATTAAACTGGTAATTTCATATGATTTTGGTTGACAATGAGTGTGTTATTAATTAGTAAAGATTTATATTCATATAATGTGTCATCGAGAATAAATAAATACGTTAATTAATATTTTTAGTAATAATTTAATATTAACAACTACATTATATAATTTACAAAATATAATTTAAACCAATAGTGTTACTTAGTATTACGATATAGTGATATTTCTTTTCATTTGTACGTGAGAGGTCTTAAGTTCAATTCTCACAAAAAGCAAATTTGAACCATATTATTACTAATCTATCGTAAAGCTAGCTCCCTGCCTATTTCGTATAGATAATATTATTTGTTAAAGAATAATTTAAATTGGTGGTGTTATTAGTATTACCGTTTATACAAAATTTAGAAGAGAACCAGAAAGAATGTCGATGGACACACAGAGACATTGGACAACTAAAAACAAATAAATTATATTAAACGAAATAATTACCACTTATTTTATAGTATTAAGCACTACATATCATGATTATGGTTATGGATTTAGAGAGGGTACCATAATTTAAGTAAAAAGTAAGAAAAAATGTCTCCTTTTGTTTGATTGATAAGAAAATGTACTATTTTTTTTAACAAACGATATTATCTACATTAAAGATAAGATGAAAGTTTAGCCTCATAATGAACTAGCAATAACGTGGTTTAAATTTGCCTTTGGCAAGAATCGAACCTAAAACCTTTCACTTACAAGTTTGAGGAGTCCATCACTAGTCCTACGGCACGGTTAAAAACTGAACACATGTACATCTGTCCCAATGAATCTATGATGGAAAAGGATCCTTGCCGGATCCTTTTTCTAGGAATCCTAGGAATCCTATGATTGTGATCGTTCATCGTACATCGTGCGGTCAGAAATAATTTCAAATTTTAAAATTTTATATTAAATATGAATAGTACTAACGAAAATTGATCTCACAATGTACGATGAAATGTCACAATCACATAATCCCTAGGATCTCCAAACTAGATCCTTTTCCATTTGTGATCAACATTAAACTCTGCAGACGATAAAAGGTTCAAGCTAGGGCAACCAAATTTAGGAGAAATCTTCTACCAAAAAACAAAATTAAGGATAAATCTTTTCTTGCAACTCAGTCATTGTAGACGAGAATACTCGACTTCAATAAAAATTTACTATGTGGTGAATTGATGTTTTCTTTAAATATAGGGTGTTTTTTGTAGATGAACAATTTACATGATATAAATATGCGTTTTCAATCAATGGTAAAATTTTATGTATAAATTCTTGGATCATTGATGCTAGAAGACACATTTGACAATGTTAGCAAACTACAAAAATGAAAACAACTTATATAAATTCGTGTCATCGCGGCAACGCATTCCAAATTATATTATCATGTAAAAAGAAACCTACCGTAACAATATAGTATTAAATCAAAATCCAACATAACAATAAACTCTTTCGATGTATGTCATTTTCCATGAAAACCCTTATGCACTGTAGGATGTATCAGCGACTCCGCTGCAACCAGGTTTAGCATTGTAGGATGTATGTCATTTTCCATTTTCCATTTTCCATTTTCCATTTTCCATTTTCCACTGTTAGGTTACCTGCAGTCAGGCATGCTGGAAGCGCGTGAAACAAACGACTCAAGAATGAAGGGAAAGTGGGTGTGGTGGTGGGGCTAATTGGGTGATGAGGGCACATGTTACGGTGCGTGTGTGGTATTTTGATCAAATTGATTGGTTGGATTGGTTCGTCCTTGTGTCGGATGCCGTGTCTTTTTCTCAATACATTTTTTAATATGATCGGTACATAAGATGATACATAACATATTACTATACAAATGATATGATATGTGTGTTAAAAATTTAATAATTTAAAAATTAAAAATTTTCTCAATTTCTATAAAAACATATAATATATCTCTCGTATTCCGATCATAATGAAAATTTTCTGCTCCTTCTCCATGTAGCTCGAGAATCACTGCAATCTGCTAACGCCTAAAAGTGTCCTTTGTCCTTGGAGCACCCTTCTCCGGGCCTCCCCTGAGACTTGACAAAGGCCTTGACCAGCAATAATAGTGTTGCACGTTACATCATACGTGCTGTATAACTTCCTACCCAATTCATCAACTATTGGATAAGGTTGCAGGTGAGGACAATTGATGCCTCGCACCTTTTGATGTATGTTGATTTTTGTGTCGAGCGTCAATTGTCGATAAGGTTACAAGCCCTGTCTACTTGAAGGAAAAGGATCCTCGTTGGATCATTTTCTTGACATACATTAATTTTTATTAGGTATTATTTATATTTAATTTTAAATTTTAAAATAATTTTTAACAACGCGATATACGATAAACGATTCGAATCACGAATTTCATAGAATTCAAAAAAAAAAAAAATCCGACCAGAATCTTTTTCCCTTTAGTTAGTGGTTACCTGTTGATTGATGTATGTGGATTTTATAATATAATAATGACTTAGGGTCATCTGTGGATAAAGTTGTAGGCCTATCTTTATTTTGGTTAGTGGTTGTTTGTTGATGAATATGGATTTTACAACGTAGAAACAGTCACCCACACAATTGTCTATAGTGTAATGTCAAACAAAGGTTTTTCTTACGCAGGACTTTGGGTTGTTAAAGACTAAGATTTTGAGCGTAGAATGAAGAGTTTACCATTTTTTGTTTTATTATAAAATATAACAAGATATTATAGTAAGAAAATACCTCGGAATAAGTAAGACTCATCAACAGATTCTTTAACCTCTATTTTTCCAGCTAATTAATTTATGTTAATTCTAGAGTAACAAGATGGTTGGTGACGACGTCGTCAACAAAGAATCTTTCAATGTACCACTTAATTAAATCTAAACCCTATCTTTACTATCCTCACATGAAAGTGTCTATTCACATTCAGGAAACTCTAAAATAGCTTATCTTTTCTAATCAAAACTCATACACATAGTAAGAACATAAAAGTTGTGTGTGAGAGAACGAGAACAAGAAAGTTACCATCAAATTCTTAGTCTGTACATAAGATAATTCTAGCTACATGTCACATCACATAAATCAATTGTTATTTTCATTAAATTTAACTATTACATTATATAGGTCTTTAATTCAACTTTAGATAAAAGACGATTATCACACGTCATATATCAGCTCTTAAAGTGCTGATAACAACTCTCACCGTCTAAAGTTTGAGATACATACTACAATCATTACTCAAAGGCATTGTACCGAGACATCGAAGTGGGTTTGAGCCCAACGCATTAGGCAGTCTTCCCGCGTCTTGGTGGATTTTGAAGGACATGTGGGATCAGTAGCTCTGTTTATTAGAAAATTGGCTTTTGCAGCTTCAAGTATCGTAGGCCGCTTCACTTGATGCACTGCTTTTGAAGGTCCGTTGACAAAACTTTTTAATTAAATTTAATTCTCATAAATATATCTCACATCATAATTCGTAGTTTTTGCTTCCTTCCTTGCAATCACCATAATCTCATTTCTCAATCTCTCAACATTCAGAAATTGTTCTAGTTTTATTCAACTTGGAGATGATGATGATGATGATGAAGACCCCAACTTCTGTAAGCCCCTCTTTGCAATAGCTCTCTTAAAGTTTATCGACTTTCGATTTCATAGCATGATATTCACCTTCTTCCTGCAGTGATTTTCGCACTGTTGTTTTCTCCTTTTGCAGTGATTTTCCTTTGGTTTACTCAAGTCCAGTTTTTCACATTCTTTGTATGATGCAGCAGAATTTGGTTTTTGAATTGGTTTATGTGGCTTTTTTTTTACACAAAGTTTATGAGGCTTTTTAATGTCCAATCTTAATAGCAGAGAATTATGAATGCCTACCCTTTTGATTTGTAATTATTTTGGTTTATATTTGTTTTTGTTATTTCCTCTTGCATTCAGATTTCTCACAAGGACCCAACAAGAAGGAGGTTCTTTAGTTGCAGTTTCCTTTCTACCATTGCCATGCTTTGTGCAGTTCTCTTCTTTCGGAGCCAGTTTGTTGTCACTGATTAAGAGGTACTATTCACCATACATATATATTAACTGAACTTTTAAAAACGTGGATATGTTGTTCATATTATTGATATTGTTGATACTTCAACCTACAGTTGCTAATATAGTTGACTACATTTTGATATAGTCAAGATATCATCGACAAACTTAATTGACTACATTTTGCAAAAAGTGCTGTTAAACGTACGCCATAAAGACTATATGTATATGTTTTCCTTGGCATATTTAGTACTCCTTAGACATTTCATTCACAGAAGTTTTTAGCATAAGGATCAGTTAATGCTATGCAACATACAATTTCGAAAAGTTGCAGGTTTTCTTGAATGGTGCATCAGTCTTCTTTATAATTTATATGTACAATGGTTAAAATTTGTAGTTGTGATTGATGTTCTCCTACATGTTTAGGCTCAATGCAGGCCTGAAGGAACTGAGGCACTACCTAAAGGAATGGTTTCCAAGACCTTTGACTTGCTAATGCAACCCTTTATGGGGTCCCTAAAACAAAAAGGTAAGCCGTTGTTTCTGTGTTGATTGTAGTGATAATCTTAAATTTTGATTAGGCAGCTCGAAGGATATGGTAATTAGGGTTGTAAGAAATCGGGTTTTAATGCTGATATATGTTATGTACTCCTTTTGTTTTAGAACTCAAAGTCATCAACAGACTTACTGGCCATTGCAGTTGAATTAAAGCAAAAGAAAAGTGTGAACAAGATTGTAAAGAAGGTAACCAAAGGAGAACACAATTGTTTCTCATCCCGTTGTTTAGTTTCTTTGTATCTTCAAATTCATGGATTTGGTTTCTCATTGTTCTTCGATTTCTCAGTTCCCATCAAGTCATTTTGTTGTCGTGCTTTTTTCATTACGCGGTCATGTAAACGAGTGGAGGGATTAGGAATGGAGTAGTAGGGCTATACATGTGTCTGCTATGAATCAAACTAGTGGTAACTGCCCCTAGCCATAATTGTAATTGAGATTCGCACATGTAAATTTTCCTAGTAATTCTAGTAACCTGGTTTGGTTTCCTTTTTAACATCTACCTCTGGGACGAGGACCTGGGAATCGAAAATTTCAATGCTGGAAGTTACTCCCCTCAATTCATACATTTTTCGTGCATTTATGTAAAACCATTGCATCCTGATATTGTTTCAGTATGTATTCATCTTGATTTCTTGCATATGCAGACACTTGTTGATTATCAGAAAAGAGGGGCTTGAGATATCACAGCCAGCACTTGATCCTGCCAACTCCGAGGTGCATCTTCTTATGGCGAGAGACAACAGAACAGAAGTACACAGGTATTCTGTCTAAACTAAGGAGACTAATATAGAACCTAATTTGAAATTTGGTAGCAGACTCTAATGATTCTTTCTCAGTAAATTCTTCACTACTTGCTCCGATCTTACGTGTTCTTCACCACTCTTTTGGTTGGTGGTGCATTAACAGGAACATAAACAAGACACTTCGTGGTGGAAGGAAGTGTGATGAAAACAGCACAGATCCTTCATGCACAGGGTACAAAATTTTCATAAACAAATACAGACACGTATGGTTTACTCACGCGTGCATCAATCCATGGATGCGTGCATGCGTGTTACAGATATAGGTCCGTGTATCCTGCACGTCTTAATTACACGTATGGCAGGTTTGTAGAAATGATGGCTCCTGTTTATTCAAGAGCATCCTGGCGCTGCATATGGCATCTTATTCAGGTACGGCGAGGTTTAAGTCTTCATCATTGCTTAATGATAAGATTAGCTTCGGGTTTTAACTTGTATTATAAAAAAAGGATGAGATAAATAAGAAACTAAACCTTAATATGATCTGGTTTTGGTTAATGGATAAGAGTTATAACAGTCAATTATCTCATTTGTGACTTTTTTTTCGTTGATAAGCAGAATGACTTAGTTCATGCTTGGGTTTTGGGTTTCCAGCCGGGTTATTGTGCACAGGCAATTTCTCCATCTTGTAAATTACATTTTTCTTACTGTTTTTCACCTGTTCTCTTGTACAACTTTCATACGTCCAAAGCAATCCTTTACATATCGGAATTGTTGATTCTGAGTACATTATTCATTAGGTATTCCTTCAAGTCCAAGTTCTGGAGCCAGCGGAGTACTTCAAGCAGCGATTCGGATATTGATACTGATAGAGAATCTGAAACTGCAGTTGTTACTGAGATTTCCACCGAAGGAAGCTGCTACAGAATAGATGTCAGTGATGCCTCTGATGACAAGGAGGATGATCCGAAGCGTGTTCTTAAATCAGCAAAAGTCAAGCACTTTGATGAGATGAATGCTACGTTTGACAAATTAAAGAATGCTGCTAAGAATGTCAATGATTGGATCAGCATGGAGGATTGCTTTGAGAAACTTAATAAGCAGCTTGAGAAGGTGATGCGCATGACCAAGAAGGAAAAAGTACCGTCTCTCTACATCAAAGCGCTTGTTTTGCTGGAGGGCATTTTGGCTGAAGCGCTGGAAAAAAAGGCTGCTAAGAAGAAGATGACTAGCAGCAATGCCAAGGCCTTGACCGTGATGAAACAGAAACTGAAGAAGAACAATAGGCAGTATGAGGACTTGATTAGTTTGTTTAGGGAGAATCCCGTGAAGAGCGAGGAGGATTCTGATGAGTCTTCTTAAACGGATTCTGAAACTTCATATCAGACAGATGTTGAATCAATGACGGATGAGGAAGATGATGGTCACGAGATGTCATGGGATGTGATAAATAAGAAGTTGAAAGAGGTAGTGGCAGCTCAGGAAGGAAGGGAACTGGAAGGTTTAAGCAGCTTACCTTCTTGACAACAGTTGCTAAAACACCCGCACAAAAGCTTGAGATTCTTTTCCGTCCTGTTTCTGCTCAATTTGATGTCAACCCGGGTCTCAGCAGGCACATGCCTATAAATGTGTGGGAAAAAGTGTGTGCGGAACATGCTTGTTGTACTTGATATTCTGGTGCAATATCCAAACATTGTGGTGAATGATATGGCGGAGCCAGATGAGAATGAATCCCAGATGGGACTGGACTACAATGGGACAATCAGGCTTTGGGGAAACTTGGCAGCCTTTGTGGAAAGGATAGACACTGACTTCTTCAACAGCTTGCAGTGCGCGGACCCTCACACCAATGAGTACATCAAAAGACTCAGAGATGAACCAATGTTTTTTACTCTTGCTCAAAATGTTCAAGAGTATTTAGAGAAAGTTGGGAATTTCAAAGATGCTGCAAAGGTAGCCCTAAGGCGGGTTGAACAAGTATATTATAAACCACAGGAAGTTTATGATTCCATAAGAAGTCTTGCTGATCAGCAGACACAAGATGGTGCAGGCAAGGAGCCTATGGCATTTATTGTAACTCCTCAACTTGTTCCTCGGAAACCCACTTTTACTGAGAGCAGTAGGGCCTTCATGGATATTCTGGTTTGATTGATATACAAGCATGGAGATGATCAGACTAAAGCACGAGCAATGCTTTGTGACATTTACCACCGTGCTCTCTTGGACGAGTTTTCTACTGTGCACAACTTGTTGCTGATGAGTCACCTGCCAGATTGTATTCAGCATATGGACATTTCAACCCAAATATTGTTTAATAGGGCCGTGGCACAACTCGGTCTATGTGCATTTCGGAATGGACTAATCCTTGAAGGAAATAGCTGCCTTTCTGACTTAAATTTGGGTGGAAGAGTAAGGGAGTTGCTTGCACAAGGTGTCTTGGGAAGTAGATTTCACGAGAAAACTCCAGAAAAGGAAAGGCTGGAGAGAAGCCGGCAGATGCCCTCCTATATGCACATAAACCTTGAGCTCCTGGAGGCGGTTCATTTGATATTTGCCATGCTGCTGGAAGTGCCTAATATGGCAGCTAGGTCCACGACACAAAGCGCAGAGTGATTAGTAAAACATTCAGGCGGTTGCTTGAATCAAATGATAAGCGACTGTTCGAAGGACCCGCTGAAAATGTCAGGGATCATATAGTGGCAGCTACCAGAGCCCTCAGCGAAGGCAACTTCCAAAAGGCCCTTAATGTCATAAATTCCCGATGCTCCTCAGGAATCGTGAGTGTGTTCTTGAGATGATCAAGGCCAAGATCAAGGAGGCGGCTTTGAGAACCTACCCTCTGACCTACTCACCGTCATACAAGACTTTAAGCTTGGAACAAATCGCCAAGATGTTTGAGCTCTCAGAAGCACGGACTCATTGCATTGTTAGCAAAATGATGGTCAACAATGAGCTGCGTGCTAGTTGGGATCAGTCGACAAACTGCAGTGTCTTCCATGACTTTGAGCACACAAGGCTGCAAGCCCCAGCATTCCAATTAACTGAGAAGTTGTCAATCCTTGCAGAAAGTAAAGAAAGGGCAGCGCAGTTGAAGATAGGCGATGGTGGACTAGACTTGCCTTTGAGGCGTGGAGACAGTCAGAACTATGGTGCTGGAGTAGGCAGTATTCTAGTTTAGTTTACTATTTTGTTTGTTATATTCAGTGATGTTTAAGCCCTCAATTCACTCACCAGAGTCAAGTTCTTGTCACCGCAGTGATGCAGAATATTAAATTAGAGTTATTTTAATTTAGTTTTTTAAGTTGTTTTTTATATTTAGTAAAGTCAGACTTGATGATGAATGAAATTTATCATCGCTTCTTGTGTTATCTCTTACTTCTATGTCTTCTAAAGCCTAAAATCTTTATAATTCTGTTTCTAATCTTCTTGAGAAATAAGACAGCAATTCTAAAATATGAAAACCTTTGCGAAAACTCCACAGTTTGTTCAAAATGATAAAGCATATATATCAGTGAAAAAACAAAGAAACCAATGGTGGATTTCGGGAGAGCACATACCGGAGGATTTAAGAGTATTATGTTGTCAATCTTTTCCTGATGACTGCTAGCATATTTAACCACAACAGGCGCAAAGTATCCCTGAGACGCACATCAAAGATCAGAGGTTCTTTTCAATTGCAGGCTTCGAATTACATGGTTATACATTCACTGGCGAAGTAATATACCTGGACAACGAGCGTGACCTTGTTAACGCTAACTTCGTTTATAAATGACTCCAAGGATGCTAAAAACTCTGCAAAACCGTGAAAAAAACTCGACGACATAAACAAGAGTAATTCTTGCTTTTATCTGCCTGCCTTCATATGAGATAAGACCAAAAACGATCACCATTCGTAGTGTAGTCAAATCCATATTTAGGTTGAGGCTTATCTGAAAATCCAAACCTGCAATTGAAGGCAGATGCAATAATCAACTGATAATGCTTTTCAAGCAAAGCAAAACTAAAATCGCACGTGAGTAGTTTACATTGATAATTTCAACTGCATTCAGGAATGGATATCAGCTAAACTTGTGATCTTGATTCTTACCAAGCCAATCAAAAGCAATCGCATGATAGTCCTTCGAAAGTATGGGAAGAACTTTGCTGTAAGAGTATGCCTGATGATTTGAACACATGTATGAATAAACAGAAGAATATTAAGACAGATGGGAAATTGAAAATGGATTTCACAATTAAAACATGCGTTTTAACATGCATCGATCTATCATACAGATGCAACAACACAAAGATGGTAGAAGACTTTCCTATTACATTGACAAATTAAGACCGACTCACCTGAGAAGGGAAACCGTGAATCAATATAACTGAAGGATTATCAGCACTTCCGGATTCAACGCAAAACCATCTATGGAACAAAATCATATATATAGAGAGCATGGTTCAATTGGTAAACCCTGCAAATAATCCAATCTCAATGTCTGCATTCCACAGAAACATTTAAACAAAAACATTGAACTATCAAATGTCTAAAGATAATTTGCAAGTTCACCTGAAAACATCAGTGGAGGCCTGAGAATCAGCACCCATTGCGAGTCCAAAAATTGGGTCTTTTGCCTTCTCGCCGGAACCAAAAGCAGCATAAGCTTTCACCTAGAGGAAAATCAAAGTTATGGTGGTTTTTTAATAAGCTTCAAATGGTTAAATAACAAAAATCATAAGAAATAAAAAATAGAAAAAGACTCACTATCTTCCCTTTGCTTAAACCATTCATCCAAAGGGCTCGGTCCATCAGAATACTTTCCTGCCAAAACACCCACATTTCCACTTAACTTTGTAAACAAACACACACACGGAAAATTTCACTATTAACAAAACGGAATTGTATTAGCACTCTAAAACGGTTATCCTGCACGATGACTTAGTTGGAGCGCAAATAACAACTCCCTCAAAAAATGCCAGAATTAAGTAAGCACCTCCACTGAAGGAAAACCCATCACCCACTTCAACAGGAGCATCAATGTAATAATCCTGGCAAAGAAAATATATTGACAAATCAATGAAAAAAAAAAGTACAGAAATTAACTTTACAAAAAACTGAAATGAAAGATCAAAGAACGAGTCATTACATCCTGGCCGTTGGATCTACAGGTGAATTTGAGGGTCTTCTTGTGGCGTTTAAGATTATTACCAACAAGTGATAGGGATGATGCAGGAATATGGTTGTGAAGTTGATGAGAATAATAACAAAGAGAAGGGGTTTTGGCTTGCGTTGCTGCCATTGCTGCTGCTTGGTGTGGTAGTTTGTGCTTAATTAACTGTGTAAACTGTAATAACGGTAGCAATGGCGGGAGAGGGTGGTTGGTTTAACTAACTGTTGGTTTTGACATAAACTGAAAAATGGGTTGGGACAGGGTTTTTTGAGGATAGACATTTTCTGGTCCTCATCTGCTGTGTAACACCATACACATATTCCCAACGTCCAGGTTTTTATGTTATGAATTTGGTTGGGATTCTTTAGGGAAAGAAAAATTTTACCCTACTCTGAATGCAGTCGACTATTATTGCACTCGAGATTAACAGAATTCTCTAAATTTATTGCTCTTGGTATTAACAATTGTGGATGGTTTATCTATAGTCATGTAACAATGCAAACAACAAACATATTACTAGCTAAATAAATTCACTTTAAACCATATTTTTACATGCAAGCGATATATATAACTCAAAATATCCATAAAACTGTAGAGCGTGAGATTTAACCTCAAACGCATATGCAAGACATCTGCTATAAGTATGTAACTAATGTGGCTACGCTTATGTCTGCAACTTAAACCATATAGATGTATATATGTGTACAAATTATGGATGGAAATTTAGTAAGATTTAGAATCTTTTTCAAGGTTTTAAAGCTAAAAAGCATATTCATGCTTTGCTATGCAAAAGCCAATCTTGGGCCAACCATGAAAAACTAAAGCCCAATCCAAACCTTGAACTAAAATTTGTTGGGTTGAACCAATCCAGACCCGACCCACTTGAACCGCCAAGAGCAAACTACTCGAAACGGGTTCAGCCTCCACAAGCGGACGGGCAGATTGGGGATCAGAGATGGCGCTTCAGCTTCTCAAGCTCCCAAATCACACCATAATCTCCCGCCGTTTTGGTAGAGCAACTTGAAGCTTCTCTCTTCTCTTCTCGCAACCCAACTTACAAAAGCTTCCGTTTTTGAGCTCTAACAGTTGAGTATCTCTAATTCTAAATTGGATTTGGTGTTCAGCAAGATGGGTCGGAGTGCCAATGCATGGAACCTTTGCTGCTGTGAAGTTTGCAAAGGTTCAGCCTCCAAAGAGACGGAGTTAATCTTGTTTTTTCACTCCAACCCAGTTTGTAAATTTTTATATCCGTGTCGAGTCCCCAGAAACCCTGAGATGGACTTACATGTCACGGTACACGCCTCTCAGTCTCATGTCATTATATTTTGGAAAAATTAGTATGTTTCTAATATTCATTGATTGAGATTTTATTAGTTTTTAGATTTTGATTAATCTAGCATTCATGTGATAATGAATTTACATGTTTATTACATATTTTTTTAATATAAAAATTATTAATTAATTTAAGGTTTAATACTCACACTTCTATTAAACTCCTAATTAATTTTCAATTCAAACATTCCAAAATAATAAAAAATAAAATTAGATTAAGTTTGTACCTATTAGTTTTTTTTAAAATAAAAAGATTCTCAATTTTATAATCTTAAATCTACCCATTTATATAATTTTTTATTTTTTTAATCTTAAATGTACTCATTCTTAAATATATCAATTTGTTATATGTAAAATGTACCCTTTTTTAATATAAAATCCATTCAAAATTTTTAATCTATTTTTACACTTATATGGGTACATTCTTTTTTGTTGATTTGAGAATGTATCCATATCAAATTTGATTGAAGAAATTTACTAATGTTATTAAACCTGATATCATTTTTTTTCTTTGGTTTTGAAGAATGTACCCATGTTTTGGTATAATAACTTTTTTTGTTAATTTTGGTGAATGTACCCATATATATGTACACACACAATTTTTAATTTTTAGTTTAAAAGATATAGTAACTTACATTATTACATTAATGTTAGGGACTTCGATCAAAAATTAAAAATTAATAAGATTTCAGTCAAAGAATATTGATAGCTAGTACTGCATGCAAAGTGTCCCTTATATTTTCGGCATGGGACACCAGGTGGCGGTGTACCATGTCGTATAAGTTGCTCTCTAGAAACCCCTTTCTGTATGACATTGATATTCACCATTGTGTTTGATTAATGGAAATTACAGGAGGAAGAGGCTGATGATGAGCTATGCCTTTATAGGTTTCAGCAATATAGTCGAACCTTCATCCGGTCATGGATTTTACAAGGTGAGCTTTACAGTTGAGTTACAAAAACCTAGCCATAGAAACAGAGGCGGGAAGGGTTCAAAATTGGGTTGCAGTCAAATTCAGCCATAAAATTCGGGATTATTGCTACACTCTTAACTTCAATGTATGCTTGCAAAGATCTGTGATGGACAATGCTTCATCCTGTATTCAAACTGATGTCAGTAGGGACGACGTAGTTAACTTTGGCTGTTCATGTTTGGTGGTGTAGTGTAGGGAAAGTGTGTGTAGACGGAAAGGTGGTCAACAAAGCAGGGACTCCAGTCTCAGACAAAGCTCTTGTACAGATAATTGCTGAAGTCCCAATATCTATGTATGTAGGTGATTACTTCACTTTGACAAACCAACTTTCACTTCATTTATATTAACTATCGAGTCGTGCAGTAACTTCAGCGGGATCTCTAGTGCTAATTTGTTCTTATATTGCCTATCCAGAGCAGGACACAAGTTAGAAGCAGCCATTGAACAGCTAGGTATCGATGTTTCTGGCAAAGTAGCTCTTGATTCAGGGTTATCAACCGGTGGATTTACTGACTGTTTACTTCAGTACGGTGCGTCATTGTTTATGGAGTTGATGTAGGTTATGGGCAGGTAATACAATTATTTGTTAGTAATTCAAGTTTTGTAAATTTTTCATCGTTATCTGGTTCTTTAGCTGTTTCAATCTCTCTTTTCTATTTTCTGTTAGGGGAAATTCCGAGGATTCGTTGCTTGTCTAATTCTATATGTTCTCTATGTGCTATTCCCCCATGGAAAAAAACATCTGTTCTAAGAAAAGTTGAAAGCTAGGTAGCTTTGTTTCACTATTACGCCTTTGGGTTTTACACTTGGTCACGGCTTCTTTTAATTTGGAAGTAGGTCATGCTGCTATGGTCAGTGTGATGAAGGAAGAGGCGACATTGGTCACCCTGGTTAAACATCAAACCGAAGCTCGCAGATCACAAGTAAGAGTCTTACATCAACCAGTACTTACCTTTGGAAGCTATTTCGGGTTTATTTTACTAGAAATTAGAAGGTATAGCAGATATGGCAATATAGGGAAGGAGTTACCTTCCTTTTCTGGGCTACAACATTAATGCCAATTCAACTGCTATTTGATATTTAAAGAAAACCTTGCGAACTGGGAAGACATGAGAAACATGAGAAACATTATGCATTTACCTTTGGAAGTTTCCAGAATAATGAGTATTTCCTTTGCATTTGTATGCACCACTAAATACTAATCCCTGCATAAAGATCAGACAGACTTTGATAAGTCCACATTTATAAGTTTTCCTTGCTCTTTATTGTGCTCAATGCATGGAACAATGTCACGTAATTTACATATATTTTGGGTTTGTTTTCTGTGTAAGTTGCGTATCTGGCTGTATCACCAATTGTGATACTTGATATCATCAATTAGCTTATAGGAAAAGGCTTTTCTACAATTGCAAGGATGAGCAAACTACATAATGTGATCGGATATTTCGGGTTTCTTTCCGGATGACCCGATAATTGTGAGGAAGATAGAGTTCTGCATGATTCATAGATTAGAATTTCTTCTTTCAATTACTAGTTTTATGATGATTCAACATTTCAAAAGGGACTCTAATACCAACCACTTGACCTACAACTGAGAGCCAAGACACCAAATATTGTTCAACTGCCACTCCATTTTTAGCCTGAGAATTATCACCAAGGAAAAGCAGCTTCATCCACTCGCTGGTTCCACATGGATGCAGCTTGTACCACGGTCTGTTCAAGTAAGGATGCTCCTACAAACACCATATATGTTCAGATGCTTGATGCAATATTAGCAACTAGAAAGAATGTGTCCCCTTTATATGTTCCAAAATATTCTAATCTACGGGAGGTGGATTTGAAGGGCGGGCACACTGCAATGGCCAATTGACCTAACATGTATATACATCGTTTATATGGATCTTATAAATGTAAATGTAACTGCACAAACAAGTTCAGCAAGAATATGAAGCATGGATCCAAAGATGAGGAAAATGTACCTCCTGAGTTATAAATGTCCATTTTGATTCCAGTAAAACCTTTGATGAGCGAGCAGGTAGGTCCTTTTCTATTTCTTCCAATGCCAAAGGCTGTCCATCTATGTATCATTCACAAAGGAAGAGTTACGAAGATTAACACTTTCATTTTCTTAACCAGAACTGACCTTAAGTGATTCGTTAAATTTCGTTCATGTAGCAAAAAAAAAAAGATTAACATACCGATGTAGTAACAACGAAAATACAGCACGGGAACTCGATATGAATCACTGTATACTATATGAAAATCGTAGTAGCATACTTGAAGATTGCTGGTGTCAACCTTGCAAATAGGAAATAGCAAAAATGATGAATGAGTGATTGGGTTAGGCGCTCACGCTCCCACGATGTCTGATTGATGCCTGCTGGAGCGTGAACGGCTGTCCCTAACAAAATCTTTACAATAAGGGTAGCTATGTACTCACCAGCGTGGCCTTATCAACAGACTCGGGCTCCTCTTCGTCCCAAGCGTGATTCTCTTCATTAGCATCTTCCTAAGACAGATCATTAATCCACAAAGTGTGATTAGTAGAGCTCCAAATATCAATTACATCCATGACAAGCGAGTTAAACCAATAAGCCACGTGTCTTACCTTGATTGACCTAAGAAGGCAAATCTTCTCCAACGATAAGTAGCCATGCTGCTGCTGCTGCAGGCGGGAGAGATGAGGAGGCTGTTTGGGAGAGGGAACCCACGTCCATGGAGGAAAGGCCGAGTTAAATTCTTTCCAGTTGTTGGCAAAAGCACGTGCCGCGACGTGGAAGTCACGTGACGAGAGGGCTCCATCCCATCCCAAAACCTCCATGATATCCGCTTGATTTCCTTTCCTTGCAATTGAGAATTCGATCGGGTCTGGAATTCGTTCGCGTCCGTCCTTCAAATTTTGAATATGCTTATTTGATGGTCGCGGCGAAATACGACGGTCGCTTTTGATGTTATGATACTTCAGTTCTGACCTGTTGCAACGGATTGCGAGCGGTGTGTCGTCGTGGGTGATTCGCGAGTCGTTGCGAGTCGCCAGCAGCGGCTAGGTGGGTGGGTCGTCGGGATATTGCAATTGCAGAGTCACAGGTGGGTGGGTGGGTCGTCGTGGGATGTCGGGTCGTCGGGATGTAACTGCAGATTAGCTTTTCAATCCGATCTTTTTCCGCCTAATTCACCTAGTCTAGTTTAGTAATTCATCTGGATTAGGATCCGAATTATTAAAATTTAATTTAATTATTATAGTTATTATTACTTTTAAAGGGTTTTCTTATTTGTAAAAATTAAATCAAATTTTAACAATTTGAAACCCGAACAAAGTGAGTTAGGTGAAAAGGATACCGGAAAGGATCGCTTTCCTTTCAATCCACCAATCCCAATTGATTTGGTTGCACCAAAAATTAAAATATCCCAATCCATTTATTCCAAGCCTAATAAATTCAAAATACAATGGCCCATTCTAGTCGGCCCACAAAACGGGTCATAAATGTTGATTAATTAATAGTTTTTTATTAATTTAACAACAATTGTAATTTGCTCCGCACATATCATTTAATTACCAATCTTTAATTTGTATCGATATTTTGATCCAAATTCTGCATATAATGGTCATATGGTCACAAATACAAATTTACGAAGAATTTGTGCATTTTCAAATGGTTTCAGAAGACGATTCATTTGCAATGATCACCGTTTTATTACCATGGGACAAATGTTAGCTTCAAATACACATATTACAAAATGTACAGCTGATATGAAAACCGGAACTAAAAGTTTGCTACCAAGAGATTCAATGCGTGTCATTTATCAATAACCTCTCCTCGATATCACGAATATACAACTAATGATCGGCAAAACTTTTGAAAAAAATATGCTTCCCCCAACCGGAGGCACCACTTCTGAAGCAAGACGAGTCACAGCATCGATTTCAGGGCTTCGATGGAGTTGGGGAAGATGGCGGTTTCAAATCTTGGTACTGCATCGGAAACAACCAAAATGAAAAAAGTAGATGAACAAACAGACATGATCCTATTGGAAAAGTAACTTGAAACTGCCTATGGATTGTGCAAATCACCCACTAACATTGGTTAATGGGAGCCATAACTAGAACGAATGAGATTAAACCATCTTTTAAGGTAACGCATAAGTAAGATCGGTAATCTTTTGTAACTAGTAATGATTCATGAGAATGAAGCTGGACATACACTTGGGTAGGGAGAGGATGATCTAGAGCCATTTTTCACAATTGACACAGAGTCTGTAGCCTTGGTTGTGCGTCCATTGTCCGTTGTTTGACTTTCTCCCGCGGACAAATTTGTAGAAGTGGCAGACCTTTCCCCGAACAACTCCTCCGTTTGTCACAGTTTCTTGTGAAGTTTTAACCTTCTTCTTGGGGTAGATATGCATAGAAGGTGGCAAAAGAGTTTCTTGTGACTCCTGAGGAGGAAAAAGGTAGAGTAAACACATCATCTAAATTCTAATATAACAAAACTAGCCAAAACACTTTAGCAATTCCTCGTGTTAAAACTTGAACTGCAGCTTCAGAATTCTTAAATGCACTTGTCAAACGGTCTTTAAAACGCCCTAGAAGCAATTTTGAAACCTATGCAGAAAATCATTTCACTAGGCAGCTTGGAAATTTTGCTTTAGTTAGGCCGTTATCGCTAGAACAGAAAAACACAGAGTTCGTAAGAACTAAGCAGCATTCAAATTATGCACATATGCATAATGCTTGCCTTTATATGGTGCTGGTACACATCCAGAAAATGGATACTGTTCCTCATTCTAGGGTTATAGAGTTCTCAACTATATTCGGAATTCGGATGGCTCAATCTAATTCTTACACATCCAAGAAATATTTTACCAAGATTTAATCAATAAAAAAAAAATCCAACTACATTCTCCTGATGAAAAGCATCAACACAAAGGCTGATCTCAATGGAGCTAGAGTTCAAATTAATCACAGATAACACGAAAAAGGCAGCAAGTAGAAGAAAAGAAAAGATGCTTACCAGCCACCCTTTTGTACCTCCAACCCCACCCTTGATTGCATAAGCCTCTTTGAAGCCATTCTTGAACAATAACTCAGCCACTTTGATGGAAATTCCATCAAAACTACCTTCCAACAAGAGAATCTGATACTGAGATTATACATACCTTTAAATCCAAAAAATGAAATAAACTTATCTTCCTTCCACGGCATGTCATTATGGCGGTATTAAAGCCAATCAAGTGACACATGAACACGCGCAATTGGCTTGGGATACCATCACAATAGCATTCCGGTGCAGGTTTCTCTCCTAGCATTAGATATTCATCATAGGCATAAACAATCAATCCATAGTCTCATAGTCATAGCTAAGGATGCTTGGGTTTGCTTCTGAATACACTTTCAGTGCTTAATAACAACCAGAATCACTATGGACCACATTAAAAAGCGCTTCTTGGTTGTGGAAGTGCTTTTTCAGGAAGCATTTGGATTTTTAATATAAATTTCTACATGTTTATAAGAAAACCACTTCTAGCATAAGCGCTTAGGAGAAGAAGAATGCTTTCTAAAAAAGTAGTACCAAACCACCAGAAACGAAGCTATAGCACAATCTTTACACTTACTTGCCCAGAACGCAAACGACAGTCTCTGCTGGGTTCCCTAACTTCTCCAAAACCCTTTTCACAAACCCAGCTTCATCTTCCTCCGAAAACGGAACCTGCACCGTGCACTTATTCAAAATCTTCAAATTCGGAGACTTCAGATACCCCAAGCTCTTCTCGTCCCGAATATCCAGCAGCTGAGCGTTCGGGTGGTCCCGGAGCTTCCGAAACGCGTCAATGACAAGGACAAACTTGTACTTTCTCAAATACGCCCGGACCAGAGGAATCACAACCAGCCAGACGAACGTTTCGATTGAAAAAGTCATCGATCGAGACCAAGATTGATTCAAGGTTTATTTTGTCGGAAACTTGCTCCGGTGCGGAGGCTGCGGATTCGGAAGCCGATGAAGGGAGAGTGAATGCAAATGGTTGCAATGAGCTCGGCGAGGAGGAATGTGAGTTGGGTTTTGGTAATTTGTGGGGGAAATGAGTGGGTTTGGGAAGGAAAATTGGGGCATGAGGAATGTTTTTGGTGGAGGGAAATTGCGTGTGGGAAGTATTGGGTGGCTGGGAAGTGGAAATGGCGGGAGTGGTGGTGGTTTGGGGAAGAGAGATGGGTGGTGAGGGGAGTGGTTTTCTGGGTTTGGACGTGGTTTTGGGGTGGTGGAGAAAAGGAGAGGATCATAGAGAGAGACTCCATCGGAGAGGAGTGAGAGAGATGGTGAGAGAGAAGACAAGACCAAGAAGGTAAAGGATGGTCATCGGAATTGGATGGTGGATTTTGGAACAAAAGCAGCCCATGACCCAAGAGTCCAGCCCAATTATGTCCACATTTTTGGGGGGCAAGGAATTAGGGTGTAGCATGTCACGTCCAATAATATCATTCCTAGTACACGTAATACGACTTAAAACCTAATTCCTTGCTACACGAATATACAATATGTTATGTGCACAATTAGTACATAAATATTTCTCCTTTTTCGCATGAATAGTATAAGTTGTTATATTTTTATTTTAGAAAATTGTTGTTGGGTCTCTATAAGTCTAATTACACATTCTAAACTTTTTATATTTGAAAAAATAAGTACTTTTATAAAAAGTGTACAATTATATTTTTAAAATGCCCATAATAATTATCTTATTTTATATTGTCTTATGTGTTGATCAACAGTGAATTAACACAAACACAACACAATTTTAAGTAGCTAAACAAGAACGGAACTTATTGCCACTTCTAGTAGACATGAGGAGTTGAGGAGTCAAACACATAGTAAGTTATTAACAAACACATAGTAAGTTATTAACTGATTAACGCTTAATTGAGATGCCGTTAAATCAAATGTTCATGGACCCAAAACATTTAGATGCAATACAAGTCTAGCACGAAATTAACCATCACATTCATCCATAATTTTCTCTACAATAATGCCCAACTCCATTCAAATTACAAAGCTACGAACATTCACACTACTAACTGAGGTCCAATTTTTTCACCATTAACTTGGTGCACAAAATCTCTTCTCAAAACCTTTGATAAAATCCTCCATGCACGCTCTGTAAGTCTCCATTCCATGAACATGCTTAGCAAGCTGCAAACCCACATCCATCCATTTCCTCGCCATATCAATCTGCCCCAGCCGCACGGGCAGCGATGCCCTGTTCCATGCCGTCATGGCAAGCCATTTCCCTTCTTCCGTCGGATACTCTCCGTCCTTCAGTCCCACCATTACTCTGTAAGCCTGCTTGTACATGCCATAAACAGCATCGTCGTCTGCATCCCCCTTGTGAATGCTGGTCACTCCAATGAGCTTCCGAACAATGAGAGCCACGCTTTGGTAGTCTGCCGTGGAGGAAGAGAGGAAGGACGATAGGCACTCGTTTAGAGCATAGACTGCGACTTCAGGATTGGTTCGGGGAGATTGTGAAGCGTTGATGCCGATCTGAAGGAGGTTTTTGTGATTGCAAGCCTTTGAAGTGGCAAAATTCTTCACTAGTTTTAGCTGTGATGATGAGTCATTGAGCCTTCCATGTATCTCATAGGCACAAAAGGTGTAGATGAAGAACAAATCAGGCTCAGTTGTTGAAAATTGATCACCGATAAGTTGATTCCCGGTTGAGGTTGTTTTCAATATCTGCATCTACACAAAAACCGAATTAGGATTTAGAGAGGCAGCAAATCGAATGCGAATAAGGCATACAATTTGCTAATTCATACCTTCCCAGCTCTATCTAGAAGTTCTTGAGCTTGTTTGACTTCACTTTCATTCAATGTAGTCTTCCTCTGATTCTCTGAAGCTATAATTGCTGATACACTCAGAATTAACGACTTGCAGACCATGTTTTCTTCTACTTGCCCATCAACCAGAAGACCATAAAACTCCGATGCCAGTCTCAAGAATTCGCCGCACAATTCATAGTTCTTCTCCTTCCCGGTTTTGGTCCCCAAGTTCCATGAAGTCACAGCAAACCACTTCCTCTCCCGTCTTCCGACCTCCCCTGTCCCGAAAAAGGAATCAGGACCAAGCTCAGACGCACGATTATGGACGCGCTTAAGAAACTTGAGGGCTTCATCCTCATTCCCTGGTTCTTGGGTTAGAATTGTGACCAAGGTCCGTAGAACCACAACTTCAGTTGCCGGCATGGATTTTCCCGGGGTATAGAAGTTCAACAGACTTGAAAGAGAAGCAACCGCAACAGCAAGAACACGGCAAGCAACAGCTTCATGGGCTGCAAGGGAGAGAAAATCTGGTGTAAAATCAAAGCAGGTTGTCATTGCCTGAATCTGATTAGTAGCTCCATTCTGGTCTTTCTTCTGCAGATAAATCTTGAACTACATAAACCCACACAGGAAGTGTTAATGTTCAAGCTGAGTAAAAACGGTAACATTTTGGATCAAGCCAAAGCTATTAAGGGTTAATTACCTTCAGGAAAGTTGAAGCGATGTTCGGTTCGAGCTGCAGAAACAGAGAACAGAGAAGCCATTAGTTCAATTAGTGGATAAATTAAGTTCCATAGAACCAAAACTCCAATCTTGTAGCTATAATTTAGCGAATGCAAACCTTTTCGGCCTCGTTGATGTATTCATGTGCTTGATCAAGCTGGGAGAGACCCAAATGGCAGAGACACAAAACTCTAAATCCCTTGGCCCTGAGAATTCTACTCTCAATGTCAAATGGGATATAAAGCATTGCTTTCTCAAACATTTCTGCACTAGTTTCGTAATCTTTCGATAGAAAATGCTCAGCTCCACTGTCAATTGTCAAATCACAAAATTCATACAACAAAACAATTGATATGAAAATTTCAAATAACTAACAAATAAGCAATTCAATTAGGAATGTATGAAATTATGACCATACCAATTCCAAAGCACTGAATGCATTGCAGTTCTCTGTTGGGCAGCGGCGTCACCATTGAAGAGGGCCACCACTCTCTCGTCTGATACGAGCTCCGCCACCACCTTGGCCCGAATTCTTGATCCCTCACCGGCGTCACCAATCACCCGGTGGGCCACCCTAACAGCCGAGCTGGCGCTGACGTGGCACCTTCCCAACAGTCCCAGAAACACTCCCTTCGCCGTTTCTGCTCCGGCAGTCCCAGCCGCCTGAAAATAAGCCTCCACAGCCGACACAAAAACGCCCTCCGGAATCCCCTTATTTACCACCATGCTCCTGAGCTCCTTCTCGGCCTCGGCGTACTTCCCCAACCCCAACCAGCCCTTCATCGCCAGAACCGATAGGCTCGGATGGTGGTCCCCACTCTCGCACCCCTCTCTCAGCACCCTCACGCACTTGATCACGCTCTCAAACTCGTTCATCTGCAGATGGACGGCCGAAATGAATCGCAGCGTCTTTGACCTCAGATCCTTGAGTTCCATGATCTCTTCGCGTGTTCTCGCCACACGCAATCCCTTCTCGTACAGATCCAGAGCCTCGTTCATCAGCTTCAACGCGTCGTTTAGGTCCTGAATCTCGCTCTTGGCAAGCGCCGTCTTGCTGAACGCCAAGAACTGGTTCGCGAGCGCCTTGTGGTGGTCCGGCGACCCGAATAGCAAGCTCTTGGCCCTGTTCAGCAGCGCGATCGCGACATTCCGGTCGGAGACGTCCCATGCGGTTTTCGACCTCGCGATGCTCAGGTCCAGGAGAAGCTTTCTCTCTCCGCAATCGGAGACTTTGTCGATGTCGATCTTCGAGACTATATCTGTAGCTCGCTCGAAGCATGAGGAAGCGAGATCGAAGCTCCGGAGGTCGTGCCATATGAGGCCGGTCTTGAGGTAGAAGGAGGCGGACTTGATCACCGGGGAAGGGACACCAGAGACGTCGCCGGATATGAAGAGGAGGTCAGCGGCGACGTGGCGGAGCTTGGCGTGATCTTCAGCTCTGGATGCGCTGAGGGAGCGGAGGGAGGCCGCGTTTGAAAGGTCGACGCAGGCGTTCCAGAGACGGTAACTGAGCTTCCAGATGAGGAGCTTCAGTGAGTTGGGGAAGGGAGCGAGTTGGCTCAGTTTAGTCGAGAATCGGCGGAGATCGGCGGAGACTGTGTCCGGGGAGAGCTTTTCCGGAGACAGATTCTCGATTTGTTTGATTGAGGACTCGATTTGGGAGATGAGAAGTTGATGAGATTGCGATGGAGGTTGGTGTTGAGGTTGGGAATCGGCGTGGCCTTGCCGGAGCTCCGGCGTTGAGAGCTCGGCGATCCTCATTTGTGTTTGGCGGGAATTTGAATGAATAACTGTAAATGTGAAGGAGGGAAAGTAACCTCTTGATTTTGTTTTGAAATTTTGGGGAAGGTGAAAAATTACGGTGCGATCAAACGACTCTAAGGAAAGGGTCGTACAAGAGACGCAAAATATTGGGCTTTTTAAACCCCTCTTTGTTTTCTACAAACCAAATTTATCCTGTTTAATCAGAAGATAAATAATTACGACCAAAAAAAAAAAAAGTTGGAAGTAATGCTATTTTAGTGTGGGGAATTTCTGTGGTTCGCCACTAGTTTTCTCCCTTGTTAAATAGAAAACAATTTTGAGAACTGACATTAACATGTGCACGGGATGAACATTTCTAATTCAACTTCATTAGATGTGAATTGAGCATTTTTTCAAACTAAACGAAGACAGATTGTCATTAAACCAAATAATTTATCGCGATTCTTCATTTTGAAGAGCTATTTTCCTATCTAGCATCCTTCATTTCTAAAATGATGTTCGGACATGACGTAGGTATTAACAGACTTAGAACAACACAACCCGGTCAATACATTGTCAATACTCGGAGAGAGAGATTCATGCTTCATGTGTGTGTATTCATCGTCTCACTCATAACAACCTCTGCACCTACCAAGTACTTGACCAATTGCTCTGAAAGAAAAATGTTTGCAAAACACCTTCGTATTTGGACGATTGGTTCCTCACGAGTTACCGATGAAAATTTTCCGTGAAAAAATTTCAGTTATTCGATCACCGGAGGCTCGGGGCATTAATACCGTTTCCGGTAGGTTATGTTATACTTGAGAGGTTTTCTTACTTAAAA